TGAGACCTATAGCTTCTTGCAGAAAAGGCGCTGGAAAGCTGTATTTACGTCGGTAGCACGGTGACGGGAATTTGCTCCGGGATGGCACCGGGTGTGGGGGTGGCGATGAACTGTGATAAGGTTGCAAAGGCTATCGACGACCAACACTTGTCCCTCTCAGGCACTCTCACGGCATGAACGACTTTTAAATTTGCATAACATCGTTTTATAAAGAAAAAAAAATCTATGTAGACTACGAACATCATCATGGCTAATTGGTCAAGGTCGATGTGGCAAAATGTTGTGGACAGAGCGCTTCGAATGTTGAGATCGGGTCCGTTTGGCTCGCATTTGTACACGGTAACGGTCACTGTCAGCTGAAATTTGAAAGTGATCTGTGATATTCATAAGACAAACATTTCAATCTAATCGATGTTCATTGTGGCAGTATACTATCAATAAACATGCAACCATATAGGTGTTGAACAATCAGAGTGGGGAGCAGTAGATTATATTGAAATGAGTACTTTCTTCTGTTTAGCCGGTTCCCAGGTGTTATTGATATTACTTATTCGAATACTAGCGAAGCATGCAACAATACAGTTAGTAATGCAGCTTGAATATACATTATTCTAGGTGGCTATCGTTTCGGCGGGTGTGCCTTCTTCAGAGCCTGGAAAGATCATATTGGTCCCCAATCCAATGAGCCAAAAACCTCCATAACCCTAGCAGAAAATTAAAAAGAAGTTTTGGATCGCATAGTAAAAACTTCATTTCAAACAATAACTATTTCCATGTTTTGGTGTCTATCAATTATTGATTGAAGACCAGCTGCTTAGGGTCAGTGCATAAGTAGGCTGTGCCTGACTCAAGCGGGAAAGATCAGCCTCAGGTATAATTCGAGGTCACGCGTAATTGCGAGGCACTCCTCTTTTCGGTTCGTTTTTGAGCCTTCGCTATGTATCCAAAGGGCTTTCATTTTGAAATACACAATGTGATGAATTTGTGCTTACTAGTTTACATGAAAGGTAATTGAGAATTTCACACATACATTCTTTACAGGCCGAATTTCTGCTGTGAAATAAATAATATTATAAGGTTTGGAATAGTAGCCGGAATTGGTTTTACAGCAGCGCCGCTCTGAAGTTTCGGCTAAAAATTCACTCATTGCCAATCGAAAAATGACCAAATCCCATCTTCAAGCATTCACCATTATCAATGTGCTTGCTTTTATAGATGTTACTCATATCCACAATTGAAGTTGGTGAGTAGAAACAAAAATGAAAGCATTTGATCTTATAAAATGGCGATTTTTATGAAAAGCTACCTATTGTCTCATGAGAAATTTCCAAAATAATAGATAAGATTGTAGTCGTTCAAAAATTCTGAACGCTCCCTTGTGAGAGATCCATTAGTTCTATTACATCTGCTTTGATAAAGTGCTTAAAAGCTGCAAGAAAAACCACTGATAAAATATTGACTGATTGTTCTAGTGGATTTAGAGGGTAGTTTACAAGGGTAAGCTATTCTAACACTTTTGGGATAAGTGATCTTCAAAGTATTCACTCTGAAATTGCCGTAGAGGACGGAAATGATTTTATGGTCAGTTTTACGATCCCTCATTTCTACAAATTATTCGTTTTCTTACAGTTTTCAAGACTAGTCAAATTCCTATCGAGCACAGATGATGTGGCGGGCGAACAGCTTAAAAGGGTGTCACATGAAGTACTCACTTCAAGTTCAGGAAAAAGTGTTGAACGACTCCACTATAGTGAAGTAGGTCATTGTACCGTTGAAAAGCACTAGCCAATCGTTCATCGTCTTTTCTGTGGTATATACAATGGGCTGAATTCTAAATTTGCTTGCATTTTTCCAAGATTCCCTTTGATAGTTTGACGAATGCCCACATAGCATAAATGAAAATTTACCTGTGGACCATCGCATCGAATAATACGACACCAAAGACGGAGATGCCGAGATATTAGCCGAATAATACATGTTCATAACCTCATGTCAGCCTAATAATGCAAGAAAATGATCAATTACGTAAGCCGAGATCAGATCAATGTCGACTTTTCTGTATATATTGAATTGTGCCATGATTTCGTTCGCATTTCGACACTTTGTTGATTCAGTTGTTAGTTATTCAACAAAATCAATCAACTGACAGCATAATCACTACCATGGTCGATGATACGCAACCGTTTGCTGAGAAGAAAATCAAATGCTCTCTCCAGATAGATTGAGGATAGCGTGCAAAAAAGGTGAAGACGTCACTTTTGAGTTTTTCAATTTTGTCCCGCCGAAGCTGTCTCAGAGCTAGGAAAAGATGCTAATCTGATGGAGCAATATCAGGGATTTTAATGTGATTGTGGTACCGTGCTCCAGCCAAGTTCTTCAAAGTGTTGTCTGACGAATTTGCAATGTCAGTTCTTCGTATGAATATTCCATTTAGATAGGAGATGATCAAGAAACTGTCATCGAGTGAAATGAGAAATCCGCATGAAACGAATCCGTTTTCAACAATGTCATATGATATTATGGCAGACAAAAAAATTGACGTTCCGACGCAAGACTACGGGAAGCTGCTGAAAGTTTTCTGATGCTGTTTTCTGTAAAATCTTCTTAGTTCCAAGATAAATTCTGCACGTTGACCAAGCGTGATCAAACATCATGCAGAAATAAATCTTTGCTCCAGATTTCTAGTGTTTTACTGCTTTCATCGCAGTGTTCAAATGTTTCACATACATCTAAGAGAATTGAGTGGTGAGCAATAACACGGCCTCAGGGGGAATCGAACTCGCGTTTCATCCTTACCGGGGACGCGTGTTACCACTACATCACCGAGGCACATTTCTCTTAGGTATATGTAAAGCCTTCACGCTATATTGCATCTGCTGCCTTCTGCCATACTCATAATAAAATGGTTTCTAACACCAAGTGCTGGGGTAGAGGACTGCCTTTATCGAATCGACATGGAGAGAAAGATATTAAGTGGACACATTGTGCTAATGCGATGCTCAAAAAACCAGTTGTCGAGGTGAGAAAATCTCTGTCAAATCTTGAATGAAAATGGACTGCGTGAGAGAGACAAGCTGTAAGAAAAATTCCAATGAATGCGCCAATTTCTCTAGTTGCTCGGCTTATATTCGGCTCCCGCCTTCTTATTTCTGATGCTGCGACAATCGACAAAGCGCCTGAATCACAACTGCAATCTGAGAGAAAGTTTCCAAAGAAGATATCGATGATTAAAACCAAACGCAGTTCTCATTGCAAGACTTTTTCGGTAATAAATTTCTAAGCAAAAATTGAGTTTGTGAAACTTTGATGTTCTTGTTAGCCTCTCACATTTAGCACGCTCATAAATTATAGTTTTAACGGAGTGGTCAACTGATAGCCAAATTGAGTAGATCTATAGAATTTCAATAGTATGGTGGAGAAATAGGCGTGTAATTAGATGTTAGCAAAATCCACCAATATGAGGACGTTAACGGAAAATCGTGTCAGGATTGGGTCCTAGAATAAACAGCTGCATGAAGACATCAAATGTTGCCGTGAGATAGGAAAATATTTTCACTCGATGAAATCGCCAATGTATTGAAACGTGGGAAAGCCACACGTGGACGATGTTTCAGAATGTAGTTGATGTGATGATAAGCAGACGCTACCCTGTTCATCTTTTCAAACGTTTCAAGGTGGATGTTTACAGAACGCCGTCTTTCCGCATTTTCCGCACGATGTGCAGGCAAAACAAATTTGTTATTGCACATTTCATATAGTGAAAATCTCATTTCTTTGTGTAGTGGTTACAATCTCTTCTAGTGGTCTCTCCATTTCTGTAATGTTTCTAAAAATCGTTTGGAAAGTTTGGAGTTTTCTTCACTACACTAAGTGATCAATTCGACTCAATCAGTTTTCGCGGTTTGAAGACCTGAAGATGTCTACCCACAATAACGTTTCAAGCAGATATTGCTGTGTTACAGAGAAAAAAGCAACAAAATTTGATGCCATTCGACATTTTCCCAGTTGGACAATATTACTCGTCCTCATGTTCACTGAATTGTTGCGGAGCATGCGATAGCCGAGATTTCGAGTTTTGAGTAGCTCTTTAGTGACCCTACATCTCCAACAAATTGTTAGGTTCGAAAGAAAGTTCTGGAGTACTTGCAGAAACTGAAAATTCATGCATGAATCCCAAAAAAAGCAATAATGACTTTTCGTCAAAATAAAGGCCATCGTTTCCTGCGACTTTCTGCCATCGGCCCACCAAATTCAGAGTGTTTTCTGCCGATTATCTAGCGAAGATCGCTAGAAATTCTTATTTACTATCGGACATCAAAGGTTTTTCCCAATCTTACACATTGATAAAAATGAGTATACACTTGATCAGGGAGTTTATAGGATCAAAATCTATCCGACTTTTGTCAATGATAAAGGTAGAGACTCAGTAATCATTTCAGATAATTGAATGTTGAGATATAAGAAGAACATCTTCAGGATGCTGGTCTCTACCGGCTTCTCTTTGGAAATGTTATGAAGGTTAATACCGAAAATTTAAATAAAGGATGGGTCAGCACGGCAAATGCCGTGTATTTAGATTCCGTCATTTTCCGTCTCAAAAATGATGCTTCTAAATTATCTGGTCATATACCAATCAATAAACTGCATAAGCTAACATCTACTAATGATCGTGCGTTAACCGATCAATCAACATTCAAATTAGACCTATCATAGCTGTGTAGGCGAATCTACAAATAGTATAACACGGTTGTTGACTCTAACTATCGCTCCTCCGCTTAAATTCTTACCACTTCATTTGTCCAATACCAAAATACTTCTAAATTACCTGCTCTGCGCGCATCTAAATAACTCACAAGTGAAAAGTCATTTGATGTCACCTCCCTGTATACTGGCGTATCAAAGTGCTCTGCATTGCAAGCTCATCTCGAACTTGATATAGAATATGAGGTGAATATAAATATGCATGCTATCAGTCAAGCAACTAATGCCTTCTCGAAGCAATGTATGTAATCTGTGGTTAGAAAATATTTCATGCAACTTAGAGAGTTAGGCATAGATCAACAGCTAACAGCACAGAGAAACTCTGCCATCTGGAGTCGTCAGAATATGGATCAACTAGGTCTGGTGGTTTCTCAAAGAAGTAATCTAGATGTTGATCGATTGAATTGCAGACAATTTACCTTTGTAGGCTCTGAAGAAGGCGAAATGCCGAAACGTCAGATGTTGAATAAAGGTGTTATATAACACCTCGTGTTTGGCTCAAGAAGAAAAATTAGGAGTTATCAACCGTTAGCTTCAAGTCTTGCCATCACCTTTATGTGTGAGGTGAAAGCTCCAGTTCTCGTTCACTGCCGATTGCTCTACAGTCGACGCATAGACGACTAATTCATTGTCTGTACCATACAAGAGAAGTGGTCAGATGTTTCGATGTTTTAAACGGGCCTTCCAAAGCATGTAAAATCTGCAGGAAGGACTACTGGCTCCCGAAAACGAGAATTCTTAGGGATTTAGATAAAGCTTTCTAGAAAGTGACTACAATACAAAATGATACCATATCAAGTAACAAAAATTTATCAGTCCAAATTTTCTCTCGTCCTGCACACATGAAAGCGACCATCAAGATAAGTACCGAAATAATTGAAAATGTGTGCCCGTCAAAGGAGTCGGAACGAATTGCTGTAGTTCACTCAAGAAATAACCATTCTATGGCTACAAATCATCAGCCATTGTGGTAAGTACCAAACAGTAGAATTAGTTCTCAAAAGAATATTTCACGACTGAATAGTACTCCTTCCAAACTTCCATTCACATCAAACGAAATTAATAGCGCTATCACGAGATGCCCCAAAGATGTGGCATGAAAGTTTTGTCAAACTCCACCTCCAACACTTCCTGTCAACTAGTCCACGATCGCCTTTACGACTGATTATGCAACTCAAGAAACTGTATAGTCTAGAGAGAGATTGTATTCTTCCGCATAAAATATATTTAATAAGAGGCATGACATGAGGGATGGATACATTGGCAAAGCGGTTAGATCATTGTGTGACTGCATAAAAGAGCATCATCATATATGATAGATTCAAAATTCGAGAAGAGAACAAAACCATACGGTAAAGATTTTGAAGTGACTACCAGGATGGCCCAGGAATCAAAGACATCAACGGACACAACCCTTGAAACTTTTCAATAAAGTCTAAAAATCCAAACAATCAAAAGGACGAATGCATCATGGTCACTTGAAACATAGGACTTTTTTTGTTTGATCTTTCTACTGAGTCAGGCAGCGTATGAAAGTATTGATAACCACCAAAATAATCAGACAGTTGATTCGACGTACGTGCAGATTCTGAAGAGGTTGAAATCGTCAAAACTTTGGCCAACTTCACCGAATTGCCACTCTTAGTCCAATCATCGTGTTTACAAAGGCCAACGTCACAGCTCCAAACACTCCATGGTGTTAGGCATCCGATCCGATCCGCAAATTCTCCTTGATAATTAGCAATAAAGAGACGCGAAATACATAATTGTCTACTTGAACGGCAATTCTTGGACAGCTGTGCGGATCCGAACACATTCGGATCCATTTGGCTTTCTTGTCCTACGATCCGCGTTTATGATGGTGGTCTGGTTTCAATAAAGTGACGAATCTGAGTCTCTTGGAGCGATCTGTAAGTGTCGGCAGCTGCGAGTGTGGCTGATTAATTTTGATAACAAACACGTCGATTCTATTAGGGAAGGAAGTGGCCGCTCTCGGGAATGCATGTACCCTTGTGTAGCCCATTCTACTACTGTTCCCGTCCACCTTTCACGTAATCCTCTCGTTATATGACCAGCTCTTCCGCACTTCGGTGGCGTTGTGTATTCCTCAGCTGTGAAGATTAGAGCAGATTTTCAAGATCTAAAGTTCACACTGCTTCTAACGTTCTGTGTGCCGGTTACATTTCAGATGGCATCATTCAAGCATTGGTAGTGCAAAATTTCATTAAATATTAGTTGATTTCTCAGTTTATGACTCGGCTGCATAGCAGAACTTGAGGAACGTTCATTCGAAAAACTGAGCGCTGATTTTCAAAATTCTCAATATATCAGGGATATCCTTGAGAGCTCTGCTCCAATGCTCTTTCTTCCTTCTGCTCAGTTCTTCCTTAATGTTGCTCTTCATAAGCTACACCTCCTAAGGTACACTGTCAAATTAGTCTGCTGTTGTCGTAAAACCATTTACTTCGATTTTGATCTATGCGCAAATGGTTTCGTGAGCCAAGTTTCCTTGTGATTCAAACGTTGTTCCACCCACTTCCTATGGCGTTTGGCTCATTTAGTCTAATGATTGATTATTCGCTTCAATTTTCACACATCAAAAGAGCTCTATTTCATTAGTGAAACGAACGATCCACGAAAACGCTCTCTGAAATTATACGTTCTCGCCACAACTGAGCGACTTCAATATTAGAGTATGGCAGAAAAAAACTTTGGCAATCTAGTGCCCCTCTGTTTAACCTCTTTTGTACAGATCTTGATGTCCAGTTTTGGCTGTGAATGTTGGTGTTAACATTCGGGAAAACTGGAGTAAATTCTTCTCTAAATTTCACTGCCAGTCCGGAGAAATGGCGGGAATTGGTAATGCCGACTTATCACAGAGAGGCGGTGGTCCACTCTCGTCTTCACCACTTTTCCAAACCCCAAGTAGGGAATACCTTTACTTAACACATCCAAAATAGCAAAGAGAATCGTTTGCATCGACCAGTATTATACGTCATTCATAAATAAGGCGTAATTCACAAGCAGCAGCTGAAGTATCATGTAAAATATTTGAGGATTTTTGCAGA